GGCTGCACCCTTCAGAGGCTGCACCCTTCAGAGGCTGCATCCTTCAGAGGCCGCATCCTTCAGAGGCTGCACCCTTCAGAGGCTGCACTCTTCAGAGGCTGCATTTAGGGACGAACTAGACTGTCCTTTAAATGAGGCCGACAAATGCGTCCCTCCATCCCAGAGAAGCAAATGCATCCAGTGCTTCAGCGATGGACCGTTTATCAAAACGTCTGCTTCATGCTGAGGTTGAGGTCAGAGGTCATCTTCCTCATGGAGCCTGAAGACGACGTCACGTTCAGACAGACACAAACTGTTCCATCGTCCCCAACGAGAGATTCACTTCGTGTTTCTGTGGCTCCATCTGGTGACGTGAAGAGGAACTGCAGCAGAGAGCAACGTGGGGAAGCTGAGGTGTGATGAGGACAAAGCAGCATCGACAAACATCCAGCATCATATCCAGTGATCGGTTAGGAGGAAGGATGCATGATGGGAGCTGGACAGTGACACAGTTTGACTTCATTACTGAGACAATGACAGAACGTTCTCGTCCTCTGGATCTGAGACTGTGAGAAAGTTTGAAAAACAAATCGGCTGGATTTCATTTTGTCTGCTGCGTCTGGAAATGGAACCAGCAATGGAAGACATGACGTGAGAATACTACATGAAGTAATACAAGGTTGTGTTACTGTGCACTTCATCCATTCTTTGTTATATACGGTGTAAACAATATATATATATATATATAGAGAGAGAGAGAGAGAGAGAGAATCCCAACCACTTTAGCTGAAGGTGACAAAAGAAATGAAATGAAATATCTTGGTTGTGTTGTTTTGTAACTGCAGTTTTAAAAGGTACAAATCATTTTTCTTTTCTTTTTGCTTTTACTGTTTTCATAGACAGAACATGAACACAAACAAACGTAACTCTGATAAAATAAAACTTCAAATAAAAAACACAGCAGACGAAGATGTTTTAACCTGAATTCACAGACGACCACGACGTTTCAAAGAGTGAATAAGAAGTTGTGAGTGAAGAACAGACGTTGAGAGAAGCCTCATGAAAAAAAATCCATTTTTAATGATTTATTTATTTCATCTTTTCACAAGAAAACAAACAACACATGACGTGGTACTGCATATCGTCATTAAGGAGTCGCCAGAGACAACAACAGTCTGTGCAAATAGTGCAGTTTCCATAGAGACACAGTGATAAAGCAGAGAAAAGCCGGGGTCTGTTTGTGAAGCTCTGCAGCTCAGGTCCGAGGAAAAAGAGAAAAAGTATAAATAAGTGAAACAGTTCAAAGTCATCTTTCTGCTTCTGCTACAGATTCTGGTTCGGATGGAAACAGGCTGGTTATTGCACACGACAGCAAACTTTGAACATTTCTTTTTTCTGTTCGGGCGACTTCACTTGGCTGCAAATATTCATAACAGTTTTTTTTTTTTTTTGAGCTCTGGAGGTAGAAAACACAAGGAGGTAGAGAGGAAGAAGAAAAAGAAGGAGCACGCTTCAGGGCCCATTTACCAGAGATATCGACAGAAGAGGAGCGTCAGGTTCAGTTCGGGGACAGGCACGTCTTTTAGCAACAACACAGTCCATGGCTTTAAACGAACCCTTCAGTTTGCAGGGCTTCATGCTCTTTTTTTTTTTTGTCGGGTTTAATGGCAACGAGCTGCTCTCATGCTCTCAGCTCAAGGTAACGTCTTTGAATTTAAAGCACTAAACAGCATCATGCAGATAATTTACAGACCAACAGGAAGACACGGAGGAAGGTTGGCGCTTTCCAGACAATCGAAAATCCAGAGACGACGGTTTGAGTTCAAAATTTAAAACTGGACTTTTTATTATTCTCCTTCGACCTGTTCACTGGATCCTCCGTCCACACGTGAGCAGCTGAAAGAAACTGAGAACAGGATTCTCACAAGTTATCAGCTTTGATAAAGACCTGACCTCCACCGACTGCAACCCCCGTTACCAAGCTGTAAAATATAAATGTCCGACTGTAGCAGCTTCAACGTGGCACTAAGTGATCTTCTCATGCAAGAAACGGAACCAATCGTTATGTAGGACGTGTAAACAGTCATTGGTTTTGATGTGATGCAAAGTGATAACATGCTCATCCTGTGCTTTCAGTTTCTTCTGCTGCCCCCTAAAGGCTAAAAACGAGTAAAACACCTTGGTGCAGAAGGTGGAATGCTTCATTTCCTGTAAACAAACTTAATTAAAAGTGAAACAAGTACAAATATGATTGAACCATTATATGAGCAACATTTCCGATATGTGAACTGAAATGGTGACATCTTTCACTTCTCTCCAGAAAACGTCCCGAGACAGATCCATCAAATAAAGCAGCACCAAAGGAAGCACAGAGAGCAGACGTATAAAAACAGGTCACTTCAGTGTAATGAGGAATGTCAATGTCTCAACATCGGGCTACAGTCCGTCTTCTTTGGCACTCGACATTTTCTGTTTGACATGAATATTAAAACTCTGGGAGTTCAGAGATATACGACGCAGCTCTTCATCCTCGTCTCTGCGCCGCCGTCTTCATCAAAGTCTCTTTTTAGTGTCTTTTTCGAACGCAGAGGAGTCCGAGCTGCGTTCACAGACCCCTGGACGTTGCATAGTGTTGTCAGAGAGCAGGGGAGCGGAGGTTTCAGAGGAAACGATCTGGAAGGAGGAAGCTTCCAACTCTTCCATGTCTTCATTCGCTTCTTGTAAACGTCAGGTTGTCAGGTATCGTAGAGTTCAACGCTGCGTCTGCTTATGTGTATGTGTGTGTGTGTGTGTGTGTGTGTGTGTGTGATGCAGTGTTATGCTATGTGTGCGCTCTCAGTGGCACCGACAGTTCAGAGGCTTCATCGTGAATCTGCAGCAAACACAGCTGATGCCATTTTGGAGGTCGTAGTGTAAATGTCTGCAAACCAGACTGATCAGCTACGTTCTGGTTCCTAATCACTGGAGATGAATTGTCAACAGTGCTGATTTATTTTGGCCCTGGAGAAAAAAACCAGACGATCCAGATCTATCTATCTGGAAAACATAAAAACCTACAGCAGCTCCTTTAGAAACAACTCCCAGGTTTATGTTCTCGGGCACGCCCGGGGAAAAACAATCGCTCTACGCAAACTGATTCAACAAATAAAAGAAATGGCTCCTCCCTTCCTGTTCACTTCTCATTTCACCAACTTAAAAACTGCTGTTCACTGAACATATAAATCGTTTTTATGTGGATTGGGTTTAAGCTCCCGCGAGTCTTAATTCAGGGTAAAAACATGATCACGAGCCACTGGACAAGATAAAAGATTTTAAAATCAACTTCAGAAGTTTTGAGCCACTAGAATCTCCAAAATGGCGGCAGGTTGTGTGTGTGTGCGTACCACATGAACACACACAGGTGAGTCTCAGGTCCAGACCTCCATGGGCACCATGGCCTCCTTGGAGCCGATGGGAGGAAGCAGGTTTTGCTCACACAGGAACTGAAGAGGAAACTGGACCAGGAAGCCGCGAATCTTCTTCAGCTTCTCGCGGGCTCGGGCCGGGTCCTCCTTATCCAGGCCTGCCTTCGCCAGGTAGCCGTCCAGCTCCAGGATGTTACGCACGTCGCTGGATGGCAGACAGCGGAAAACCTGGCAGCCAGAGAGCAGGGCAGAGGAGGACAGCTTTTAATAACCAACAGGCATCTGTTATTATCATCGTAAGATAAACTGTGAAGAGTCACTTCAGGTTTTTAACAATGGAGTCCGACCAATCAGAAGGGCTCGTCAAGGCAGGACACACCCCCAAAGTCCCTGCAGTAGAAACACGTGGATCAACCGCAAAGGTTCCGAGTTCCAGAGGAAAGTTCTGCAGCTTCATATATTATATGTTTTTATAAGATTTAAATTAAGGAAACTCAACTCAAAGTCCAAATTATTTCATTTC